GGGGGGTGGAGACAGACCAGCCCAGCAGGCCCATGCCCTGGCCTCTGGCTCTGGGAAGGGGTGGGGGGAGGTAATGGACAGAGGAGAGATGCCCCAGGGCTGAGGGAGGTGTGTTGGGAGCACTGAGGGAAGAGTCAGGGATGAGGGACCCCCACCCCCGCCGGTAGCTGCTGGCCGGTCTCCGGAGTAAGAGCCTCTGGAGGGGTCAGGTGCCGGAAACGTCCTTGAGAGTCCGTCTCGGCATCCCAGCCCTTCGTGGGCCTCGGTTTTGTCATCTGCGAAATGAGCATCATAGCTCTGCCCCGCATGTTTCTGTAGGCCTCTGGATCCGGGGAGTCACATAAGTTGGTGGCTGAGAGGAGGGACAGTGAAGGAGGTGGGAAGAAGAGGGTCCGAGGATGGGGCCGCTGATGCCTCAGCGCCTGTGCCGCACCAGGCTGGGCGCAAAGCTCCCCGTGCTGGGCTCTGCTCGGCCTCCAGCGCCCTCTGAGTCAGGTTTATCGTTGGCTCTTTTCCTCGGGATGGGCTGGTCACGGAAGGTAAGGGACACGCTGAGGCCGCACAGCCAGGAAGTGGAGGAGCTCCGTGCCTGGCCCTGGCCTGAGGGTGCAGATCCTAGCCAGGCCCCGGTGCCTATGGCAGGGACAAGTCAAAAGTGAGAAGGCAGACATTGTCAGGATGCCACAGGTCATGGCTCAGATGCCCAGAGCCCACCATCTCCCAGGAGGTGGGAGGGGAAGTCAGAGAACACAGCCACGTGCCCAATGTGGATGGCAGCGGGATCCCTTAGCTCGGTGTTGGGCAGACCATCAACAAGCCTGACCCCACTGGCACTTGGCCTCCCTCCCATAAGGGGTGGCATTAGCAGGAGGCTACCAGGGTCCTGGCCCTCAGGTCAGACCCACAAAGGTCTGCCTTCCCCCCCCACCCACCCACTCCCCTGGGCTGACTAGGCGCCGTGCTCTCTCCCGCTGCAGGAATCCTGCTGCCCGCACCCCCTCTCCCCGCTCTCTCCTGGACAGCTGGACACAGGTGTCACAGCCAGATTCTTTCCTGGGCCCCCTGGCTGGCTGGGTGCCCTCCCCTGGGCTCTCACAGCCCCTGAGCTGCCTCTGTAACAACCCTCATCACTCCACATCTTGATGATCTGCTGCTAGGTGCCCCCTCCCCCAGACCCAAACACTCCCCCAGCTGAGGACCAGAGCCATGGCTCTTCCTCCTCTAAGGTCCCAGGCTCAGCCTCAGTTCTGGGGTCACAGTCACTTTCAGTGTGTGTTTGTTGAATGAATAAGTGAACACACCAATGAGTTAACACCATCTTGAAGCGGAGTTTCTAGAAAGGAGCCTGCCCCTGACAGTCTGAGCTGGCAGCACTGATGGTGAGAACTCAAATCAATAATATATTGATTAGATATATAAAGTTAGCAGCCTTGCCACAGACATCCAGGAGCTGCCGGAACCGAAGAGAGGTTCCGGGCAGGCTACGGTGTCGTACCTTCCCAAGAGGTCACCAGGTCCTGACCAAAGTCAGGAGCATAGCACAGGATGAGGGGTGAAGCCGGACAGGCCCAGGCCTTCTGGCGGAGAGCGGGCTCTGGGCCCCAAGCGCATCCCTGTCTGATAGGGGAGCTCCCAGTCTGATAGGAGAGACGTAATTAGCGTGTTTGTTCATTCATTCATGCATGCGCTGTGCCTTCACTTATTCAGTCAGGCCTGGGGCTAGAGCAGTGAGCAGGCCCGCCTCACCCCCAGGGCTCTCGGTGAAGGACGCCTCCAGGGGTCAGGACCTAACTAGGAAAAACCACTAACCATCTCACCCTCAAGGGCAAGCCCACAGGTCAACGGATCTCCAAGCTGCAGGGACCCCAAGGGAGAGACTGCAGCACAGGCCTGCCCACGCCAGCCTGGCATCGTTGCCGCACGCGCTTGCCTCTGCGGGGTCCTTCCAGCCCCATCCCTGCTGCTCAGCCCCCACGCTGGTCTCTCCCCACAGGTGATGAGCATTCTGAGCAACCCCAGCGCGGTGCCGCCGCAGCCGCAGGCCGACTTCTCCATCTCCCCGCTGCACGGCGGCCTGGACTCGGCCTCCTCCATCTCGGCCAGCTGCAGCCAGCGGGCGGACTCCATCAAGCCAGGGGACAGCCTGCCCACCTCCCAGTCCTACTGCCCACCCACCTACAGCACCACCGGCTACAGCGTGGACCCCGTGGCTGGCTACCAGTACGGCCAGTACGGCCAGAGTGAGTGCCCGGTACCCGGCATCCCCCCCTCCCTGCCCCCCGCTCATTTGTAGAGAGCTGGAAGGTGTTGTTGTGGGGGGAGGTGCCCATTTCACAGATGAGGACATTGAGGTCCCGAAAGGAGGAACAGCTGTTCTAAGATGATGCTGAAATGGGCCCCTGCTACTGCTGCTGCCTTGGAGAAAAGCTGTCCCACAGAAATAGTATCACACAAGCCACAAATGTCATTTAAAATGTCCAAGGAGCCACGTTATAAAATGTGAGAACAGCAAATTATTTTTGCTAGCATGTTTTATTTTACCCATTCTAGCCAAAAGATGATCATTTCAACATGTAATCCATATGAAATTATCAATGAGCTATTTTACATTCTTTTCTTTATACTGTCTTTGAAATCCAGCCCATTTTCATTCAGACGCAAAGTTTCATGGGGAACGCTAGACCCGCATTGAAATTTCACAGCATTGACAACTGAGAAAGTTGTAGGCTTACACACCCAAGTTGTTCCAAATCTACTGCAAAGTTTCCCGGCCACTAAACTAAATTGAATTTCGGCTTTTAAATTTCAATGAGGTAAAATCAAATCAAAATAAAATCTGGTTCCTTGATGGCACTGGCCACACTTCAGGGGCTCCCTCGCCGCATGTGGCTGGTGACTGCGGTGGGACAGTGAGATGGTGGGGCTCTGCCCCTCCTGCCCCCTGGCCACAGGGCCAGCTGTCCTTTGAGCTCTCTCCTCTACCCCCATCCTCAGCCTTGGGTTCCCCAAACGTTGAGCTGGCCTCACAGGCCCAGCCCAGTCGCCATCCCCTTGGCACCTTGCCTGGGGGGGCGGGTGGGATGGCAGATCCTCAGACCAAAAGCTGCAGAAGGCGGGCCCAGCCACAGCCTCCAGCCGCTGGGCAGGGCAGCAGCAGGGCAGGCCAAGGGGGCACCGGGAGCTGAGGTCACTGGCTGCCCCTCCTGCCCCACCTCCCGGCAAAGGCTTCACCTGCTGGTGTCAAACTAATCAGAAGGGCAAGTGGCGAGAGGGTGAGACCTCCCAGCCCAAGGATGTCCTCACACCCCCGCCCCGCCACAGCCCTGGCCTGGCCTCACTGACCTCTGCTTCCTGTCCCCACACCAGCCCTCGCCTCCTCATATGGCCTTGGCCTCCACGGCTAAATGAGGGCCAGCTGTGCTGCCGCCACCTCCCCACTGCGTTCACGGTCCCCCCTGTATGTGCATGTTAGATATGACATATGTGCACGCCGGTATATGCATGAGTGTGAATACATGTTTTGGATGTGTTACAATTCAGGTGTGTGTGTCTGTGTGTGTATTTGTGAGTATCCCAGCATACAAGTGTTAGTGCACACATCCGTGTGCATAGGTGAGTATGTGTATGTGTGTGGCACATGTGGGTATATGTGCACATGACTATTCACATACATGTGAGTTTAAATGAGCACACTGTGCGTACATGGTATGTGTTTTATGCAAATGCACACGTGCACAATGTTTGGTCATGTAAACATACGTGGCCATGACACATATACATGTGTTTAAGTGTGCATTCAGGTGTGTTCATGTGGCTGTGGCTGTGTATGTGCCTGTGTCTGTGTATGTGCCTGTGTGTTTGACATCTATAGTGTGCATATGTTATTGTGTGGACATGTATAAATATGTGTGCAGATGTGTGTGACTGTGTAACTCTATGTACATGTGTATACACATGCTCAAGTGTGTGTGCATTTGGGAGTATTTGTGGCACATGTAGATGAAGTGTGCAGGGTATAAATATGAGTGCTTGTGTAGTTGGGTGTCTGCATAGGAGTGCTGTGTGCTCCTGTGTGTAGTTGTGCATCTGGGCTTGTATACATGATGTTGTCTGTGTGTATCACTGTGTCTGTGTGTGTGTGCAGGGGGAGCAAGTGTGTGCGGGTGTATAACGTGTGCACATGTATGTTTGAGAGCAGGGTGCACACATGTGCATGGGGGTGTTTCCAGAGGAACAAGGGCGACCCCTGCCCCAGCCCCTGTGCCCGGGGAACCGAGCGGGACACATGCTCTTGATAAAGAGTTTAGAGCCCTGGCCTGGGGCGGGCGTTAGTCACACCCAGAGCCCCGTGCCTGACTCCAGAGGCGCCTGCCCAACTCGGAAATAAAATTAACCCCAGAGTCAGCACGGGGCGCGGGGGGGTGACAAGGGAGGGGGGATCAAAAGGGAAAGGGCCCAGGAGGCGAGAAAGGAGTGTTTGTTCCCCCTCTGCTCCTAGAAACTGGCTGGAGCAGTATCTTCCTCTCCCTCCCTCCTCCTTCCCTCTCCCCCCTCCTTCCCTCTCTTGTCCTCCCAGGCCCCTCTAGCTCCACCCCTGATCCCTGGCTTCTCCAGGGGTAGCTCGGAGCTCCTCCTGAGTCACATTCTCCAGCCCAACTCCGAGGGAATCGGAGCACAAGACCCCACCCCACAGAGGCTCCAGGTTGGGCTAGGAGGGGCCTGCGGGAAAGTCTGCCCCTCTCGCACCATTAGAGTGGGCAAGGCACCCGGCTTCTCTGGGCCTTAGTTTTGCCATTTGAAATGGGGGCCTGGGGATTAGACTCAGTCTTTTCAAAGTTTGTCCATGGTAGTACCTCCCTCACCTATGACATCCTGGGACCACTGAGGGATCACTGTGTCCTCACTGACCACCTGCCCCATGCTCATGGGCAACCACATCCACCCATGGCTGGGTCCCACGGTCCGTAGGCGAAAGTCGCATGTCCCAGACCGGCTGTGTATGCCCAGGTCCAGCCTGTCATCTGCTCACATCTGTCCCCTGCCTGAGTTTCAGCCAACCAGGCACGGGGTGAGATGCATGGTCCTCACGCCACCCAAGGTAGATGTCATTTGTCCCCAGGTTACAGGCACAAAGCTAAGCTCAGGGGGGCTAGGAACTTTCCCCAGGCCACACTGGAGGCGGATGGGGGACTCCGGGTCTCCTAACTTCAAATCCAGTTCTCTCTGGCCAAACCCAGACTTGTGTAAGACACCTAATGATACGCCCCTAGACCCACCTGTGTGTGGATTGACGTTCACAACTTCACACCCATCTATGCACGCTCAGAGGCACGCACACACAGATTCACTTCGATGGGAGTTTTCACTAATATGTATGTGTGTGAAGGAGGGAAGGAGAAATGAACACTTACTGAGCATCTACTACGGGCCGGGCATTTCATGCTCATGGCCACCCTGTATAGTGCGCATGCTTATTCCACGGGGCAGATGAGGCAGTGGGATCCCGAGAGGTTGTTTGCCCGAGATCACATAGCACATACCCGTGTGTACACAGCCCCACGGTAGCCCCGCCCTGGAGAGCCTCGCCTTCAGGTGTGCGTGGCGTACACACGTGGCCAAACTCTTAAACAGCAGAGCACACCTCCTCTTCCTGGGCCGGGCGCCTTCCCAGGGACATCTCCACACCTTCCTCTCCTGCCCCTGGCTGTTGTCCGTCCATCTGTCTTTCCCTCCTGTCCCTGGAGGGGGTCGGGGTAGGGGGGCAGGGGGCAGGGACAGGGCACACGGCAGATTAATATGGCCCTGGTGTTCCCAGAGGCCAGGGCCGTCCTAATGATGGGGCTGATAGAACGCAGAAGTGTGAAGAGAATTTTAATAGATCTGACAAGTCTAATAAGAGTTTGTGCCTGGAAGGGTCCTCCTCTGGGGCCGCGGGCTGACAAGATGCTGACGGCTGAGATTTGTTTACGGGTTGGCATCACAGCCACATCTCCTGCCAACTCCCGATTAATCTAATTTGAGACGTTTAGAGCCCAAGCGTGGGTACCGGGCAGAGAAGGGGAGACACGGAGAGACAGAGGGACAGGGAGGGCCGCTGACAGAAGCCGTAATGAGAAATGCCACAGCCCGGCCCTCACCGGCCCAGGCTGGACCCCAGGGAGCGGCAGGCCATGCAGTGTTATGGGTGCCCTTGAAGTTGGCTGGGTCATCAGTAAAGTTTGGCTTCTCCATGTTTCCTCGCTCACCTTGACGGGGCCTAGGGAAGCTCCTACTATGTGCTGGGCCATGGCTGGTAACTGGGAGAAGCTAAAGAGGAAGTAACAGAGACCAGAGGTACAAACAGGACAGATTCGGGCTCTGCCATCTCACGTGCTATGGGTGGTTCTGGGCCAGCAATCGTTCTGTGCCTCAGTTTCCACCTTTGTAAAATGGGGCAGCCGGACCTAAAGCATGGGGCTGGTGAAAGACCTCAGTGAGATCATGTCTGCCTAGCACATAGTAGGTGCTCACCTGTGAGGGCTCTCGCTCTGTTGTTCTCATCACTGTTGTCGAAGCCAGACCTTCCCGTCCCGTCCTCAGGAGGAGCCAGGGAGGCTGGCATCAGGGGTCGGCGTGATGTGGGACAGGGAGGCTGTTCAATAGGAGGCGCCGGGTGATGTTGGGGAAGGGGCGGGGATGGTAGATAGGAGCTTGCAGTAGACAGCCTGGGTTTGAATCCTGACTCCACAGCTTAGGAGCTATGTGATCTTTCAGGGAAGGGCCTCAGTTCCATCTGTAACCTGGGGATGATAAGGCTCTATAAGCTGCTTAGAGCAGGAGCAAGCTCTGGTAAATGTTAGCTCCTCCTCCTGCTGTTCCCATCGTGACTCTGAGGTAGACCTCCTCAGAGGGCGTGCCCTGGAGCCCAGGTAAGAGGGGCTCTGAGCAGCAGAAACGGTGTGGCCAGAGTTATAGGGGCCAGAGATGGGAGACTGTGCCAGGCCCACTCAGAGCAGGGGCAGACCCAGCAGGACAGGTGGCCACCGGCACCTCTACCGACCAGCTGGGAGCATAAAGGCTGCGTGACCTCGGGGGCGACCCAGCAGCTCAGTGCCAGCCCTGGAGCTGGGAAGCCAAGGGGCACAGGGTTCAGCCGCTCAGAGGGCCCAGGCGCCATGGTCGGCAAACTGCAGCTCGCGAGCCACATGCGGCTCTTTGGCCCCTTCAGTGTGGCTCTTCCACAAAATACCATGTGCGGGTGCGCACATACAGTGCCACTGAAACTTCATGACCCATGCGCAGAAGTCGGTATTTTGTGGAAGAGCCAGTATTTTGTGGAAGAGACACGCTGAAGGAGCCAAAGAGCCTCAAGTGACTCGCGAGCCTCAGTTTGCCAACCG